ATTTGTTATTTCTTTGTTGTTTTAAATATTTATTTTAATTTATTTAGTTATTCATTCGTTTATAATTAATTAACTTATTTTTAATTCATTTATTTATAAATTATTCATTGTTAGTAACTTAAATCATTTCATTAGGTAACACATACAAGGCCTCTAGATGCACTACTGTTCAAAAGTTTAAATTAATCATAGTGACAGTAAATATATTTATAATGTCAAACTATTTCTGTTGCACAATAGTGCTGTCCTTTTGTATTTTCTATACAAAGAAGGTTCATGGTTTCCACAAAAGTATGAAGCAGCACAACTTTTTTGAACATTGATAATAATCAGAAATGTTTCTTGAGCAGTAAATCAGCATATTATACTGATTTCTGAAGATCATGTGACACTGAAGACTGGAGGAATGATGCTGAAAATACAGCTGCGCATCACAGAAATAAATTACATTTTAAAAATATATTCAAATAGAAAAGAGTTATTTAAAATTGTAATAATATTTCATAATATTACTGTTTTTATAGAATTTTTAATCAAATGAATGCAGCCTTGGTGTGCAAAATAGACCTTTTCCTAGGCAATGCATAAAGTCAATTTGGATAAAAATATCTGCCAAATACATTATTATAAAAATCCTTCTATGATTCCTAAAAATGTCAACAAAAAAAGTAACTCGAATTTGAAACAGAGCCATTGTCTCTCATTCATCCAGTCAAACTCACGCATCTGAGTGTGTGTGTGTGTGTGTGTGTTTGTAGGACAGTCTGGAGCTCGTGTTCAAACAGTCGAAGTCAGTGGCCGTCACCTCCATGTCATTTCCTCTGGGTGACGTCAATAACTTTGTGGTGGGCAGTGAGGACGGGTCCGTCTACACCGCCTGCAGGCACGGCAGGTGAGTGTCGAGCTGTTTGTGTCCGTTTCACATCTGCACAAGTGATTTATATTGGTGCATTGTGTGTGTGTGTGTTGTAGTAAAGCGGGCATCAGTGAGATGTTTGAGGGTCATCATGGACCAATCACAGGCCTCGACTGCCACACAGCGGCAGGACCGGTCGACTTCTCTCACCTGTTTGTCACTTCCTCTTTTGACTGGACCGTCAAACTCTGGAGTACCAAGGTGCCAAACACACTACAAACATTATTTATATACTATTATAGTATTAATATTATTTAAATAATATTATAGTATTAATATTTTTATATTTTCAATTTAGTTACAGTATGTGCTTTTGTCTTTTTTAATTTTTATTCTGTTTAGGTTTATTTTTATTTCAGTTTTAGTAATTTTAGTACTTAAACCTATTTTATTTCAGATTCTAATTTTCTTTTTTTTAAATCTAATGTTTGTATTTTATGTCATCTCTGCTTTATTTCACAAAAAATGAACAAAAATGATTTTCAATGGTTTAGTTTTAGTTAACAATAACAACACTGGTCTGTTTGTGTCTCAGATTTACTTAAAAACAGATTTTATTTCGCCAAATTTTACTTTAAGTTATTGAATATTTATATTTTTACTGAAATAAAATGTTTAATAATTTGAATAAGTTTAAGAAGTTTTAGTAAGTTTAGTACTTGAACTTGTTTTATTTGTTTCTAATTTTAAATTAATTTACTTTAAGATTTTCATCAAATATTTATATTTTATTAAAAAAAAATTTTTTTCTTTATTTCAATGACTGAAAACTTTTTCTTAGTTTTATTCAACAATAACAACACTGGTCTGTTTGTATCTCTCCTGACAGAACAATAAGCTTTCTTTTTATTAAACTTTTTATTTTATTTTTTTTATGTTTTAATTTGAGCAATTTTGGAACCTTCAACTTTAACTTGTTTTTTTTTTAGTGTATGTAATATTTGCTGCATTTCAATGAATGAAAGCAATATTTAATAGGTTTAGTCAACAATTAACAACGCTGGACTGTGTGTGTCTCTCCTGACAGAACAATAAGCCCTTGTACTCTTTCGAGGATAATTCAGACTACGTGTATGACGTCATGTGGTCTCCCACACACCCCGCTCTGTTTGCCTGCGTGGACGGAGTCGGACATTTGGACCTGTGGAACCTCAACAACGAAACTGAGGTACTAACATCTCCTAGAAGTATAATCTGAACAAATCCGCAAATCTTGAATGACTGACAATCTGCTGCTTCAGGTTCCCACAGCGAGTGTGTCTGTGGAGGGAAGCCCTGCGCTGAACCGCGTGCGCTGGGCTCATTCGGGACGAGAGGTGGCCGTCGGCGACTCTGAGGGCCAGGTGCACATTTATGACGTCGGAGAGGTGAGGATGCAATTAAATACAGTTAAATGAACTTCTGCAGCTGTGGTCTGTCATTAAAACACACATCTTGTTTTCTCTACAGCAAATCTCAGTGCCGCGGCAGGACGAATGGACGCGCTTTATGCTCACGCTCACCGAGATCAACGAGAACCGCGAGGACGTGGAGGAACTGGCCGCTCAGCGATTGGCTGCATGATCACCATAGCAACCCCTGCTGACCAATGACGTTTCCCCTGCATTTGCATATCTCCACCCTCTCTTTTTTTAATTCTAGAGACAAATGGATTATTTCAGAAAGCAAGACTTTGCTATTAATAATTGAAGCATTTTGGAGTAATAATCGTAGTGGGATTGGATGGTGAAAGTAAAATATATCAGGTGGGAATTCTAATGTTTTTATCTATTTGTAGGATTAGAGGCTGATTTGGAGGAAAGGGAGGATTGTTTGCCGTACAGCAACACTTACACTTCCAATATGCAAACTATTGTACATAACCTACTACAGTAACAGGAGAAATGTGCTTTTAAAGAGGTGGGATAATTTGAACATTCCCTCCCGGATAAACGGTCGCATTATTGGATTATTTATAACTTTTTAACAAATGCATTTTGTTTTTAGCTCATAAAGACTGAACACTTGTAATAACCAAATCGGCACACTTTTCAACGTGTAACTCAGTTCTTACTTCTGAATGCCTTAAAGCTCATTTTATAACAAGGGAATTCTAATGTTTTTATCTATTTGTAGGATTAGAGGCTGATTTGGAGGAAAGGGAGGATTGTTTGCCGTACAGCAACACTTACACTTCCAATATGCAAACTATTGTACATAACCTACTACAGTAACAGGAGAAATGTGCTTTTAAAGAGGTGGGATAATTTGAACATTCCCTCCCGGATAAACGGTCGCATTATTGGATTATTTATAACTTTTTAACAAATGCATTTTGTTTTTAGCTCATAAAGACTGAACACTTGTAATAACCAAATCAGCACACTTTTCAACATGTAACTCAGTTCTTACTTCTGAATGCCTTAAAGCTCATTTTATAACAAACACACACACACACACACACACACACACACGTATCCACAATCTTCCATCACACAAAGCATTACCCTCTTGGTGCTTGTTTATTCCAGCGCTTATGACTGAAAATTCTTCTTTTTTTTTGCCTTCACTGTTTTAAAAATGTCTCATGAGTTGTCATTTCAAAAGGACTTGGAGAAAAGCCATGGTCCTTTAATTAGCATTTCTAATCAATTCAAGTTTATTTGTATAGCGCTTTTCACGATGCAAATCGTTGCAAAGCAGCTTTACATTTAGTAATAGCTTATTAGTGGTGACTATCTCGCATTTCAAACTTAAAACTTTCCTTTGGCACATATTTAAACTAGTAGACAGTGTTATTATTTTGCCATTTATTTGACTAATACATTTTTCCTTTAACGGTTAACCGTTATGTATTTTTACCATTTTAATCTGTAATTTTACATATTTTATTTGTAATTTGAATTTAGTGACCTCCCAGACAATAATGCGACTGCTTTTACAGAGGTTTTAAAATATTAGTTTACTCATTATCTGTTAGTTTTAGTAGTATTTATGTAATTTATGTATTTTCTTGACATTGTGTAAGCAGCATTGTTTAGTTACAAAATCTCAAGACCTAAAACAGCTTCCCTTTTACATTCATATAAATTTTAGTGTACAATGTTAACAAATATTAGCATTTAGTAATGTTTTTAATAGATGTTATGTGAATTTAGCCTGGAGTTTAACTCTTTCCCCGCCAGCATTTTGAAAAACGTTGCCAGCCACCGCCAGCGATTTAGCGGATTTTTACTAAAATGTCACGTCCCCCAGAAGATTTTGTTGTATGAATATCTGAACACACAATACATCAAAATAAAGATCAGACCCTCGATTTTCAAACGAAAACAATTCTAGCTTCAATAATTGCTTTTTTATCAACACTTGAATGTTGGTAGGTTTCATAAAAAAGCAACAAGCTGAGAAAATCGCATTTTTATCAAATACTAGTAATCATATTCATAAGTTATCATATTCAGTAATATTATCAAAGCAAAGATGCAGTAGATTGCTTCCATCAGTACTCCCAAAGCTTGCACAGGCATCTACCACTTTCTGGATTGACATTTCACTCTGTAGAATTAGGCAGTTTTCATTTATATGCGGTTAGCGTTGATGATCGCATTATTTTTCATATGCATACATATGAGATCGCTCGTTTCTGCGTCTTCTTGGTCTGTGTTTTTGATCGCACTTTCTAGCCTCATTCAGGATATGTATAATAGCGCCCCCTAGCGTACAACAGTGGAAACCCGGAAAATTTCATGTTTGGCGGGAAAAGAGTTAAAATATTGCGGCTTTAAATGGTTCAGAACAACTAAAATGAAAATGTACTTGATAAAAAAAAAAAACTTAATCAGTCCATAAAGTCAAACCTGCCTTAATCTAGACAAACATTCTGAACCAAAGCTTGTCGGTTTCTTTTAAATATTGTTTTTCTGAAATGAAGGAAGTTTCTGAACATCTGAATGGACTCATCAGGGTCACACAATCATGAAAACACAGATCAGATAAGGGAATTTTAAAATCTATATATACCCATACACAGTTAATGGGTTAATTTATTCATAATGAATATAAAACAACATTCATAACTACACATGACAATATTAAGAGTTCCTAAAAGTATTTTAAAATATTTTAGATGCACATTTATTCATATTTGGTTAAAATTCCCTAATTTAGATGGGAATATGATTGGACTTTCAAAAGCACAATGAGCAAAGTCAAAAAAAAAATCAAGCCTAACCCTATGCAATATACTTCCTCAGCTAGAAGCTGTGCTTTGAGCATGCATTTTTTATTTTGTTTGGTCAGATGTGTGGGATCCCTGATTTACATGACCAGGACAAGCGTGTTGATCTTGCGTGTGTTTGATCCTCCAACGGCTTCACTAATTCACTTTATCACTGACCTCTTTTGTAACTTGCAGTAATAAACTCAATAAAACCTTCACAAACTAGAAATAAAATGTAACCGCATTGATTTATTTCCATAAAATACAAGAATGAAATGCATTTAAATTATTTTCTACATTTGAGTCAACCATGATTTCTCCGATCAATCGGTCAAGTTTTGAAACCTCTGTACATCAGTCAGTGTGACGGAGAGAGAGAGAAACACGTCTCTGTGCATGAGATGTACATGTGCAAGCTACGCAAAGCCTATTGAGCAAATGAAGAGCGCTACAGCATGCTTCAGTCACATCAATACATCATAATCATGAGAAGAAAACTCAAAAGCAGCAAATGTGCATCTTGGGGAGCAGAGGAACACAAAACTGACAGTACATGTCATGGTTTCTCTTTCAGGAGTGTTTCATGAAAAGCTCTTTAGCTTTCGTTTCGGTGGCTGATGAACTTCTCTAGAGCCCTTGTTAGATTTTTCACTGCGCGTGTCGCTTTAGGTCTCGATCAGTGTGGCAAACGTCTACCCTGTGCTTCAGAAAATACACTAACTATGAGCTTTAACCAGTGTTCTTCGTCAAAACTGAGTCACTGATATGGGTTAAAGCAACAAGACTCTGAAAGAGAGTATAATTTCCCATGTCCCCCACCTAAAAACTCAACTGAATGAAATTAAAATGAAAGAAAAAAAATGTAGGCAAATGTACTGCGGGCGGGCGGGCGGGAGGGAGGCATGCAGCCATTGGAGGACAAGGCCGTGGTGGGCGGGGCGTGACTTTACGAAGCGTCGGCTTGTTCCTTGGGCATTCTGGAGTGAATGGCCGTGACCCCGGAGGATTTGAACTTGGGCAGGTGCAGTCCGAACTTGTTCTCCACACCGGCGAAGGTGGCGGCTGCCAGACGGTAACCGCCGACGTGCTCAGAACTGACAGGAGGAAGCTCAGAGATCCGGGATTTGGGCGTTGGTTCAGAACCAGCAGGGCGACTAGAAGGGAAGAGAAGAGATTTTTTCTTACAGCAAATGCTTATCCAAAGTGACTCGACATGCCATTTTTCTCAGTTGTTTGCTAATTTCCACTGAATTAAGTACTTTACAACACCCTTTCTCCAACACCCTGCACTCTGAAGTCATGCAAGTCAACCTGAGCGAGCACAAAGTGATTCAAAATATAGTGTCATTTATTCCTGTGATCAAAGCTGAATGTTTCAGCATCATTCCTCCAGTCTTCTGTGTCACATAATCCTTCAGAAATCATTCTAATATGCTGATTTACTGCTCAAGAAACATTTATTATTATTATTATCAACGCTGAAAACAGCTGTGCTGCTAATTCAGCTTTTTCAGTATGCTTAGATGAACAGAACGTTTAAAAGAACATCATTTATTTGAAATTGAAATCTTTTCTAACAAATGTTTTTCATGTCATTTTTGACCAATTTTATACATCCTTGCTTAATAAAAGTATTAATTTCTTTCAAAAAGAAAACTCTCACTGACCCCAAAACTTTGCACAGTAGTGTGTATTATCAATATAAGAATCTAACATTTTAGCCATTTCAATTGTTTGTAGCTGGATTGCTGGCAAATGAATACAGAATTCAAGTGATGTGCAAAAACGTGTACATCAGCTGTTTTAGAACTACCACTATGGTAGTTCTGGATGTAGCTCATTCATCAGATCTATATTTAAAAGACGTCCTCATGCTGTGTGAATCCTCTGGTGAGGCACGTTTCTTAACATTTCATGCAGTAAAAAGTGTGCTCAACATGATCAATACTTACTGTCCTCCGAAGTCAACGTAGAACCATCGCTGCAGGAGCTCGTAGGTCACCAGGGTCACACCGAACTGAGGAGACGAACGGAACACACGAGCTACAGAGAACACAGAGAGAGGACTGGGAGTGAGTATGGATGTGACTGAAATGATATCTGTGTGTGTGTGTGTGTGTGTGTGTGTGTATACCTCCAGCTCCCTTCCACAGAGCTCGGAATCCTTCCTCCTTTAAGATCTTCCTGAAGCAGTCGATCACTCCAGAGTAAGTCGTCTGACCGGCGCGAGCAGCCACCTGCAGTCGTGTTTTGATGACATCAGCAGGGGTGACAAGCGAAGCAGCCGGGACACCTGTAAAATAAAATCATCCAGACATCTATTAATACATGATCTAGTCTTATCATGCATGATTCATTCATATATGTTACTTTGAGGGAAATTATGATTTTCAGATGAATGCAAGCTTGCATTTAAGATGGGTTTTAAGAGGACTAAATAATTAAATAAAGTCTTTTTCTCAGAAGATCAAGTTCAGACATTTTGATTAAAATTTACAATGGCAAAAATGAGATGCATACAGATAATAATAAGATCAGTAGTTTGCTTTTAAATACATGTGGGGTGCATTTTCATTTCATGAAAGTAAAAGAAAAAAAGTAAAAACATTCTGGTACTCTTCAGTCATTTTACACCAAAAATCTTGCGTTTTGAATTGTTTTTTTGATTGTTAACAATCACACAGCAGAGTTTTGAACGGGATAAACTCTAAAACAAGTGCAAAATAGACACCCACTCGCACACAAGTCCTTAACTGTAACCGCACTGTGTCAGCATCACAAAGTACAAGCGTGAGGCACGTTCTGACCTGCGATGGCTCCAGCGGTCAGCAGCTGCAGAGCCCCCAGCCTTCCATCCTCATCTGCCAGACCTGCCTTCGTATGGGCATAAACGGGGAAATAGATGGCAGAGAAGGGGATATCACGCAGGAAACAAGCCTTCGCACCCTGTGGAGGAAGACAGTAACATTTGAGTGTATATGAATAAAGAGCAGTTACAATGGCAATTGTTGTTCGATACACCGTTTTAAAAATCTGCGATTTCCCCACCTTGTACAGGCCAAAAAAGCCAAGATCTCGGACTACGTTGAGTGCGCTCACTCTGGGGCCTGTAGTGATCTCACCGGCCACCTGCAGACGAATCTTAACAATTTCCAGCGGATTGGTGAAGATAACCTGTGACCCACCGGCCTGGAAAGACAGAACATTTTGCCATTTAAGTACAACATAACCCAGTTCGAACTATGTACAATTCAAAAGTTTAGGGTCAGAAAAATTGTGCTAATTTTTTTTATATTCTGATTATTCTCTTATACTCACACATCCACCAGCGAGAATCTCAGCAGCCAGAGCTATCGTATCATCTTTTGTGGTAAATTTGTCTCTCACAAAGTCATTCACCTGGAAGACAGACACAGAGGGACTCGTGTAATTGGCTTTACTGTCATCGGCTCAGAAACAGCTTTCTACAGGATGTCCAGATGTTTAATGACATACAGTGAGCTTGATGGCTTTTTCTGGAGCCACTCCGATGAGCTGGGGTACAAGACCTGTAGGGGGAAAAACACAGACACACGAAGAAAGTAGGAAAAAAGAAAGTGAGATCAAGGTTAAGAAACATGAAGACAAACATAGCATAAGACGAATCCAACCTCTATAAAAGCCGAAGACGCCCTCGTATCGCAGGACTTTCTTGGCGCAGTCAAAGCTGTTCTTGTACATGAGCTCTCCTACGAAGGAGCCGGTGGAGCGCTGGTTCTGCATTCGGGTCTTGACCAGGTCTATGGGGTACACAGCTGTGGCACCCGTGGCTATAAACACACACACAGGATAAATTACATTTCACTCAAGTGCAATTACACATACACTTATCCATTGAAAACAGCATATATTGTGCACTTAAAGAGGCTATGGAAAACATGATTGTTCTTTTGAAATAAAAACAGATATGCACTACCACTCGAAAATTTGGGGTTGGAAAGTCCCTTGTGCTCACCAAAGCTGCATTTATGATTAAAAAAATACAATAAAAACGGTAATATTTTGAAACACCATTACAATTTAAAATATCGGTTTTCTATTGTAAGATATTTTAAAATCTAAATGATTTCTGTGATCAAAGCTGTATTTTCAGCATCATTACTCCAGTCTTCAGTGTCACATGATTCTTCAGAAATCATTCTAATATGCTGGTTTGCTGCTCAAGAAACATTATTATTATCAATGTTGAAAACAGTTGTGCAGCTTAATATTTTTGTGCAAACTGCCATACCTTTAAGTTCAAAAGAACAATTTTGATTTGAAATGGAAATCTGTTGTGACATTATGTCTTTACTGTCACTTTTGACTGACCTCTTTTAAAGAATGAAATTGGACTTGTGTTTTTCAGTCAGTTTCTCTTAGCATTGAAGTCACACTCATAAAAGATGACAATTAACTTGAAATGCAATGCATATTTAAAAATGACAGTTTAACACTTCTAGGAAAACGGACCAAAAATATCAACAACTCATCTTGCACACTGGCATATGGAAATTTTTGCCAATAAAATGCTTTATAGAAAGACAATGTCCCTCCTTCCTAATACCATCTGCATGTAGCATGTCCCCTTGACACATCCTGCTATTAACTTCCTTTGCCATAATGAAATACGTAACACAGAATGGAAAACTGTACTCATTTTGTGGGGTCTTTAATGTAAGAAATGAGCAGAACTCATAAACTCGAACCTCCAGCGATGGAGCCCAGAGTAAATCTGTAAGCTGACTCTGCTGCCTGCAGCCACACAGACCGAGAAACATCCGCATGTGAATGCTGCAATGACAGAAAGACAGCAAGTAGTAAGCATGTGAGGCATCAAACTAAATGCACAATTCTGGGCCGATCTGGATTTGAGATATATGACAGCAGCCTGAATATTAAGTTTAAACCTGATTTTTGCATCTTCTGAAGAAAGGGAGAGTTGTATCAAACCCCTAGTAGTGAAAGCGTGTTTTGTGCCATAATTAGTGGTGTTAGCTAAGGCAAGCTCACAGATAACATCACAATGTTCTCACAGTAATATACACATTTATACAACCCCTAATAGTCTCTTATCTGACCATTTATACAGATAAGCTCACCTGTCTCTGCACCTCAGCTAGATTATAAGGCAGGACTCCTTCCTCCAGTGGTGCTATCCTCTCGATATCAGCCAGGTTTAATCGTCTACACATCATAACATAAACAAACACATGATCAGCTGATAATGCTGCTTATATTATGTGTGGATGAACTTGTTTTTTGTTGTTGTTGTTTTTTTTTTAAAAGGAGAGTACCCTGTTTGGGAGTGCAGTCCTGATAGCTGGAACAGGATGTCGATTTCCATGGGGGTAATCTGACCAAACTTATTTGCAACATGAACAAACTCCTCTACAGATGAAGAAAATGTTAGATAATACTTAAAAACGTTATTCTGATGTGCAGATGAACAGAAATGGATATGACAGACAGCACGCACCTTTAGTGACGAGCGTATCCTTGCGAGACCCAGCCAGAGTGCTGTAGATTTTACGGATCAGTTCCATGTTGTTCAGGAGAGAGTTGAAGGCATTGAAGTAGGAGAAGCTCACCATGTGAGAGGTGCCACCTCCTGCTGCCTAAGAGGACACATACACTTAAACCTTTCACAGTAACTTCACAACAAACATCTCACCAGATGGAAAAGAGCGCTGCACACTTACAGACACAAGGTTTTCCTCCACAAAAGGTGTGAGCATGTGGTGTCTGATGGTGGACATGATGTCACTGAAGTCCAGGGCAGAAACAGCGCCGCTCTTGACCTTGTCTTTCTGTGCGAACGCCTGTCTCGCGTGCTCCAGCTGCAGCTCCTATGACAACAAGCACAGACAGCACAAATTAGATTTTTGTTAAAGGATGTACTTATATAGAAATTTTGCCAAAGTTGGCATGGGTCAGTTAAATCCTGCTGGCAAAAAAATAAATGTAAGTACACCATTCTAGGGGCCTTATTATATTTAAATATGATTAAATTATTACTATATTGAAAAATTTAATTAACTGAAATATAAAATATTATTTTATTATATTAAATCAATGATACATTATTGTAGTAAAATATCATTCATCGTTTATTATATTTAAATGATTAATGTTACATTAAAAGATAAGTATGATTCAATTTAATTGAATGATTAAAATATGAAATATTTTATATTAAACTAAAATGTATGTATAATTTTATATATTAAATAATATTTAATGTTATTAAATTATAGTATACTAAATATTATATCGTATAAAAATAATAATCGTTTATTATATTGAAAAATTTTACTAAATTAAATGTATTATTACTATGAAGAAAATAATAGTATTTCATATTACAATATAATTACACCATTATTATTATAACTGTTATTATTTAAAACGTATATTAAAGGGGTCATCGGAAGTTGATATGGTTCTTTAGGGTCTTAATGAAAAGTCTGTAACATAGTTTGGTTAAAATTTCTCCCTGAGAGACGGTAAACTTTAGCCGCATTCATCGTGAAACTTGCTAACTAGCACATTACGAAAGGCGATTTGCAAAGATTCATCAAAAAACCTTATACTCACTTCTTCTGGAGGTGAAGCTGCATCACGAATGATTTGCGCAAACATAGACACATTTATGTAGATCAGGGGCGCATTTCCTTCAAAAACAAACAATCCACTGCGTCCTCAGCAGCTCAGATGTCGGGAGTAAACGACGACTGCTATGTTCATTATTACATCCAACAACAGAACACCTCAATCGCTTAGGAGTCATTCTTGTCTACATCTGCTCCGCCGGTGAAACAATGGCGGACTGATGACAGCTCACTCAAGGCGGGTCTAAGGTAAAACGCCACTGTCAATCAAACTATCGTGGGAGCGCCCTTGGTCTGTGTGACGTCACCACAGACAGGCATCTGAGAACGGCTTGATTTGAGAAAGGGGAAATTATTTAACGAGATAAAAAAAAAAAAACACTGGGTGGATCTTTATCATTACAGGGTGGTTGTGTACACATACTGCCAACACACATTTCAGTTCAAACTAAAAAAAGTAAAAGTGCATGTCGCATCCGCTCACCCCTTTAAGGTATCAAATATTTTATAACAACAAGAAAAATGTAATATGATATTTACATAACTCTGAGGGTGTTTAACTGTTTGGGTGTGGTACCTGCAGGAATTGGGTGAACTCCAGGTAGCTGAAACTTTTTTTTCTGTCATTGCCGAAATGCAAGCGGATGAACTCGCAGTCCCAGTTGAAGGGAATGTGGTGGTGCACGGTGGTCTGGCTGAAGATATCACGCACGTTCTCTGTAAACACACGGAAGGCTCAGATTTACACTCCTGAAGAACATAACGGGCGTTGCAACATTACTGACAGTGTTTTAAAGGTCCACTGAACACGTGAACATGTGCATGAATGAATGTCTCTGTGTTCAAGGTTAAGCTGTTTGTTTGTTTAGCATAATTACATTACGATCAGCTGACTCTGTAAAGGGAATAAAACACTACGTGTCAAAAACACTGCAAGCTGCCTTGCCATCTACATACTGTAGGCAGCATTAAATGAAAAGGTGGATGAACTGGAATGACCTACATAGTAATCTCCATACACCACACAAATTCTAAACTCTTGAACTGATTTCAATGGAGTTTGATGTCAGCATGTACAAATACAGAAGTTCATTTGAAATAAGGCTGAACATTTATATACAGTCAATACTGTTCTCACCGAAGGACACACATCCAGTGCCCGTCTTGTCAAATAGCTGGAAGGCCACGATGAAGAGGGCATCAGGCACACACAGCACTGACTCAAAGGCCAGAAACTCTTGGAACGAGATCAGTCTGAATGGACAAAAAATAAATAGAAGAAACACTGAAAACACAAACCTATGGTCATTCTGCAATCTCTTTCACACACTTTGCTCTTGAGCAGCAAATCAGTATATTAGAATGATTTCTGAAGGATCTTGTGACACTGAAGACTGGAGGAATTATGCTGAAAATTCAGCTTTGCACAGAAATGAATTGCATCTTACAATATATTTTTATTGCAATAATATTTATTTTAGTTATTTTAAATTGTAACAATATTTCACAATATTACGGTTTTTACTGTATTTCTGATCAAATAAATACAGCCTCCTTCTTTGAAAAAAATCTTACAGACCCAAATGTTTGAGCAATAGTGTATGTGCAATACAGAAATTTTGCCATATGCATCTGGCTGCTACTGCAAAAAAAAAAGAAAAATCTCATGAAAGTGGGTGCATTTCTAGATCTGAGCTGAGGTTTAGGCTTCATATCAAACCATCAATAATTAAAACACAGAAAAAGAGACAAAAAAACAGGATGTTTGTCTCACCCATCTTTTGTAGTATCTGCCACACCGGCGAGCAGCTGCACAGTTTTAGGGTTGTAGTGGAGCTGTGTGTGGAGGCCCAAAAACTTCTGCACAAAATCATTGGGTGTCATGTACTGCTCTCCATCCTTATCCACCACACTGGCATACTGAGGAAAAACAACACAAACACAGTTACAGCATCTGTGTTGGATGTAAAGCATGATTAAATGTGCATTTGAAGAGTTTATTTGCAAAAACAGATAACTCCTTTTTTATTAATTTCATTCTAGGGGCCTTATTATATTAAAATATGATTAAATTATTACTATATTGAAAAATTTAATTAACTGAAATATAAAATATTATTTTATTATATTAAATCAATGATACATTATTGTAGTAAAATATCATTCATCGTTTATTATATTTAAATGATTAATGTTACATTAAAAGATAAGTATGATTCAATTTAATTGAATGATTAAAATATGAAATATTTTATATTAAACTAAAATGTATGTATAATTTTATATATTAAATAATATTTAATGTTATTAAATTATAGTATACTAAATATTATATCGTATAAAAATAATAATCGTTTATTATATTGAAAAATTTTACTAAATTAAATGTATTATTACTATGAAGAAAATAATAGTATTTCATATTACAATATAATTACACCATTATTATTATAACTGTTATTATTTAAAACGTATATTAAAGGGGTCATCGGAAGTTGATATGGTTCTTTAGGGTCTTAATGAAAAGTCTGTAACATAGTTTGGTTAAAATTTCTCCCTGAGAGACGGTAAACTTTAGCCGCATTCATCGTGAAACTTGCTAACTAGCACATTACGAAAGGCGATTTGCAAAGATTCATCAAAAAACCTTATACTCACTTCTTCTGGAGGTGAAGCTGCATCACGAATGATTTGCGCAAACATAGACACATTTATGTAGATCAGGGGCGCATTTCCTTCAAAAACAAACAATCCACTGCGTCCTCAGCGGCTCAGATGTCGGGAGTAAACGACGACTGCTATGTTCATTATTACATCCAACAACAGAACACCTCAATCGCTTAGGAGTCATTCTTGTCTACATCTGCTCCAGCGGTGAAACAATGGCGGACTGATGACAGCTCACTCAAGGCGGGTCTAAGGTAAAACGCCACTGTCAATCAAACTATCGTGGGAGCGCCCTTGGTCTGTGTGACGTCACCACAGACAGGCATCTGAGAACGGCTTGATTTGAGAAAGGGGAAATTATTTAACGAGATAAAAAAAAAAAAACACTGGGTGGATCTTTATCATTACAGGGTGGTTGTGTACACATACTGCCAACACACATTTCAGTTCAAACTAAAAAAAGTAAAAGTGCATGTCGCATCCGCTCACCCCTTTAAGGTATCAAATATTTTATAACAACAAGAAAAATGTAATATGATATTTACATAACTCTGAGGGTGTTTAACTGTTTGGGTGTGGTACCTGCAGGAATTGGGTGAACTCCAGGTAGCTGAAACTTTTTTTTCTGTCATTGCCGAAATGCAAGCGGATGAACTCGCAGTCCCAGTTGAAGGGAATGTGGTGGTGCACGGTGGTCTGGCTGAAGATATCACGCACGTTCTCTGTAAACACACGGAAGGCTCAGATTTACACTCCTGAAGAACATAACGGGCGTTGCAACATTACTGACAGTGTTTTAAAGGTCCACTGAACACGTGAACATGTGCATGAATGAATGTCTCTGTGTTCAAGGTTAAGCTGTTTGTTTGTTTAGCATAATTACATTACGATCAGCTGACTCTGTAAAGGGAATAAAACACTACGTGTCAAAAACACTGCAAGCTGCCTTGCCATCTACATACTGTAGGCAGCATTAAATGAAAAGGTGGATGAACTGGAATGACCTACATAGTAATCTCCATACACCACACAAATTCTAAACTCTTGAACTGATTTCAATGGAGTTTGATGTCAGCATGTACAAATACAGAAGTTCATTTGAAATAAGGCTGAACATTTATATACAGTCAATACTGTTCTCACCGAAGGACACACATCCAGTGCCCGTCTTGTCAAATAGCTGGAAGGCCACGATGAAGAGGGCATCAGGCACACACAGCACTGACTCAAAGGCCAGAAACTCTTGGAACGAGATCAGTCTGAATGGACAAAAAATAAATAGAAGAAACACTGAAAACACAAACCTATGGTCATTCTGCAATCTCTTTCACACACTTTGCTCTTGAGCAGCAAATCAGTATATTAGAATGATTTCTGAAGGATCTTGTGACACTGAAGACTGGAGGAATTATGCTGAAAATTCAGCTTTGCACAGAAATGAATTGCATCTTACAATATATTTTTATTGCAATAATATTTATTTTAGTTATTTTAAATTGTAACAATATTTCACAATATTACGGTTTTTACTGTATTTCTGATCAAATAAATACAGCCTCCTTCTTTGAAAAAAATCTTACAGACCCAAATGTTTGAGCAATAGTGTATGTGCAATACAGAAATTTTGCCATATGCATCTGGCTGCTACTGCAAAAAAAAAAGAAAAATCTCATGAAAGTGGGTGCATTTCTAGATCTGAGCTGAGGTTTAGGCTTCATATCAAACCATCAATAATTAAAACACAGAAAAAGAGACAAAAAAACAGGATGTTTGTCTCACCCATCTTTTGTAGTATCTGCCACACCGGCGAGCAGCTGCACAGTTTTAGGGTTGTAGTGGAGCTGTGTGTGGAGGCCCAAAAACTTCTGCACAAAATCATTGGGTGTCATGTACTGCTCTCCATCCTTATCCACCACACTGGCATACTGAGGAAAAACAACACAAACACAGTTACAGCATCTGTGTTGGATGTAAAGCATGATTAAATGTGCATTTGAAGAGTTTATTTGCAAAAACAGATAACTCCTTTTTTATTAATTTTCTTAAATCATGTTTTTTATTGTGTTATAATGTTTTTATTGTTTTAGTTAGCTGTATTTTTATTATTATTATTGAATCAAAACAACCCAACTGCAGTTTGATTGATATTAATTAGAATGCAGAATTTTAAAAAAAATACATGATTTTTGAAAATTTTTAAAAACGGAGTTATCTGTTTTTGCAAATTAACTCTTCATTTGTATTATCCTCATTTGTAGGGCACTTAGTATGATTTATTTGCATAAAGAAGAACCTGATAATCAATGTCATTAAGCATGCAGACATTTAAGATACTAAAAAGTAGTCGGTTGTGTAAAACAACACCGGCTTTCTTCCAAACAACGGTGTTGGCAATATGCAAGCTGAAACTGTATCTATTTACCAAGTACCAACATTTGCCTAGTTGGACAAATGGGCAAAGGTGACAATCAATATTCATGTGCCACGTGAGTTGTGTATTTTCCCAGTTTTGATCAGCAGCAGCTAAACAGGACACAAAAAACTAAAGCGAGATGTCCTCTGACCTTATCGAGACATTCTTCACTCATCCAACTACTGCCCTGACATTCAGGTCTTCCTCCAAACATCCATCGCACACGCTTGAGTCCTATTAATAGAGTCACATCGTACGCAAGTCGCTGAGTTACTAGCCACCAAAGCGAACCAACACAGCCAAAGAAACAACTACTCTCAGCTGACAGACGCACAAGATCTCTCCAGCGGAAATCACAAATCACTACACCAATATAAAAGCCCTGGCTGACATATAATGAGGGAGGGAGATTAGATTTCCCTATTCATGCTTGAAAATGAAGAATACACACAATAAACTGTTTTCCCACAAACACAAACACACTAGACTTTCCCAAGCATGTGAGTTTCTCTTTCAGTTGCTTTGGGGGAAAAGGAGACGACAATAGAGTGACAATTAAAAACGCACCAAGGAAATAAAGATCTAATGACAGGCCAAAGTCATGACACTATCTACACTGGCTTCTGAAGTTGCAGACCTGGTTTCTCATTGGAATTGACTACAGTGTAAAAGATGAAACTAAAAAACATCATAACCTGATGTTACACCAAAATTAAGCTTTTCTGCTGTTTAAACGTACCTTTTGAAAGATGCCCTTTAGCTCATTAGGGTCGGCCCTTTTGGTTAGCTGCACCTGCAAAACAACAACAGCACAGAATAACATTAAGGTTTCTTGATTTCTATAGAGATGAATTGTGAATCTTAAGAGCTATGATCTGTAATTATAGCCACAGAACCACTACAATATTTAGCGAAGTGCATTGCATGCTTAGAGCTCTTTCTGCATCTATTAAAGGTCTTTCCCCCGAGTCCACAAGGTTTTACAGAGAGACGAGGCCTAACGTTAGTCTAGTGTGCAAAACTACATTTATTTCGAAATGCTCATTTAAATATCAAACGATCTTTGCGGGCTTTAACATTATTGGGACTTTCTGGCACACAAACCTTTCACATAATAACGCACGCAAAACAGAAAGAACCTAGTTTTAACAAAACCCAAAATAACAAGTCAGTAATTACACACATGAAGTCTCTGTAACGACGATTAACGTTACGCCCACACAGCAGGATCCTCGCACGCCTGAGTACATTTGATAAACAAACCCAATCTCTAACAACACAAAAGCCCGCTATAGGGCAGATTAATGCGGTTTAACACACAATTCTACTATTTATTTATGGTTTTATGATCCTCTCAGACACTAAACTCAGTCAGTGTCCGCGGGAGTGTCGCGATAAGCTCAGTGATGCTCGCGCCGGTCCCTTAAAAACGTTTATCATTGTCTCTACTCCACCCATTTACGCATCTACTAGCCTTTCTGCCGTTAAAAGTCAGCAACTGTATTTAAAAGTGGACAGCTGAGACATGAAAACGCAATTTTTCAGTCAAATGCGGAGTCGCCGGAGTCACCTTGGCCGCCATGCTGCTGTCTGACGTCACGTGACGTTACGACGGAGCGCGTGAGAAGAACATAGAGGTGCGCGCGCGCCTAACAAAGTCTGGCACTCTTTTATTATTATTATTATGATATTTTCCCCCCTTTATTTTAAGCTACATACTCCCTTATTGTTTTATTTCTCCTCTTTTTCTTACTTCTTTCTTCTTTTCTTTGTTAATGCTCTCCTGAAGGTGATTGTATATTTTCATCCGATTTTAATTTTTTTTTTTAAAGATTTCCAAAAACTCTTTAATATTTTTTTATTGTTTTAAAACAACAGTGTAGCAATAATATTACAAGGAATGCTCTTAGTGCTCTTAGTGTCCTAACCTGCTTTATTTGGTAATATCTCTTGGGTTAAAGCATGGAAACTGACAAATAAGAAGGAAGTTTCTTACCAAATACTGTGAACACATAGAATTTATCCAGTGGAAAGATTGAAGCTTAATATTTTGTGTACCTGTGCATTTTGTGGTCAAGAAAAAGAAACTATTTTGCATCTTAAATAAGAAGGAAGTTTCTTACCAAATACTGTGAACACATAGAATTTATCCAGTGGAAAGATTTAAGCTTAATATTTTGTGTACCTGTGCATTTTGTGGTCAAGAAAAAGAAACTATTTTGCATCTTCTTTTTTTTTCATTGTGTTTACTCAAGATTATTTTGGAAGGATTTGGAAGTCTATATTAAGAGAAAATGGAGTGTATGATAGGACTTTGAATATTTGATGTACTTTTTTATACAGAAAACGAACATTTGAACGGTAGGAAAATTTCATAAGCATAAGACGAAATGGGCTCAATGTAGACCAAACTTTTCACGTTTTATAAATGACTAAATGAAATGTGAATCTCTTGGAACAAACAAAAAACTAAAAAGCACTGAAAACATGTAATGCAGTGAAAGCTGTGTAATTTATGTCCTTTTCTGCCTTTCTTTTTTCTTTTCTTTTTTGGCAGCTAATGTTAATTTGATCGTGTGAATATATGTAATACCTCTTGTTCTTGTGACATTGAATAAATAAAACATTATTTTTTATTATAATAACACTAAAAATAAACCCCTATACTATATATATACATATATATATGGTACATTTTCCATTCACAAACAAAAATTCGCAAATCGTTTCCCATCCTATCCCATTTTTAAAATTGAAGATTATTTTGGAAGGATTTGGAAGTCTATATTAAGAGAAAATGGAGTGTATGATAGGACTTTGAATATTTGATGTACTTTTTTATACAGAAAACGAACATTTGAACGGTAGGAAAATTTCATAAGCATAAGACGAAATGGGCTCAATGTAGACCAAACTTTTCACGTTTTATAAATGACTAAATGAAATGTGAATCTCTTGGAACAAACAAAAAACTAAAAAGCACTGAAAACATGTAATGCAGTGAAAGCTGTGTAATTGATGTCATTTTCTGCCTTTCTTTTTTCTTTTCTTTTTTGGCAGCTAATGTTAATTTGATCGTGTGAATATATGTAATACCTCTTGTTCTTGTGACATTGAATAAATAAAGCATAAAAAACTATTTATTATTTTAAGATACATTATTTTTTATTATAATAACACTAAAAATAAACCCCTATACTATAATATATATATATATATATATATATGGTACATTTTCCATTCACAAACAAAAATTCGCAAATCATTTCCCATCCTATCCCATTTTTAAAATTGAATTAAACTCACTTCTAAAATCTCATCTTGTAAATAATAAAAAAAATCCCTGAGATTTCTGAAATATTATACATAAGTATTCAAAGAAAATTGCATTTAGATGATTTCCTTGTTTGGGATCGTTTGAATCTCATTGCAATGTCTCTGAAACGTCATTCACATTCTGTTTTTTTGTAACAATTTTTTATTTATTGTTAATGTGTGTGTATATTAATTATGTTTATTTATAATTATTGGTTATTTTCTGGATTTGTATGCGATCCCTTGGCTATGTTCCCTTTTTGTTGTCTGTTTAAGCATTAATAATAATAATAAAGATTTCCAATTTTCTTTATGTCTTCCTTTTCTTTCATAAAATGTGACCCTGGACCACAAAACCAGTCATAAGGGTCAATTTTTTGAAATTGAGATTTAAACAAGATACAGCTATTTGAAAATCTGGAATCTGAGGGTGCAACAAAATCAAAATATTGATAAAATCATCTTTAAAGTTGTCCAAATGAAGTCCTTAGCAATGTATTAATCAAAAATGAAGTTTTGATATATTTACGGTCGAAAATTTACAAAATATCTTCATGGAACATGATCTTTACTTAATATCCTAATGATTTTTGGCATAAAAGAAAAATCTTTAATTTTGACCCATACAATGTATTGTTGGCTATTGCTACGAATATACCCCAGCGACTTAACACTGCTTTTGTGCTGCAGGGTCACATATGTGATTGTCCGGTTTGTAATATTTAATTATGGTATTAAATGTTAATTGTTCGGCATTTACAATAATAAAAAAAAAAGATTTCCAAACAAAAACAGCTTGAAATTTAATACAGTAAAATAAAAAAAGTGAAATAAAATATATTATATTAAAAAAAAAAATTTTTATGTAGTTACTATCGTATCCTTATTTATTTACGTTGTTTGATAAATGACTTGAGAACCTACTGGAATGTTTTGTATTTTAGAATTCAATAAAAAAAAGAAAAGAAAAAAAGAAAAGAATCCATTATAATTTTCAATAAACACCTGAATATTACTATATGCTGCTGCAAATGGGATATTGTATTTTCTGCGATCGAAACCATATGCATGCGTTTAAATTTCATACATCTCAAAATACATTAGAGGACAACACTTAATGAACTAAACATCTGTTTCTTTAAAAATATCTTTATTGTACACGTTTTCACAAGTAAAAAGTGCAGCATCCTAGCAGATATTTTATGCACTTTCCCGTGTTTGCGTTTTCAAAAACACATCACAACATTAAATGAGGGCTGAGTATCAAATTAGGGGGGAAAAAAGGTTCATGACACCATAAACAATTGAAATTCTTTTCCTCTACAACCAAACTGATATTTACAGATAATACAAAAAGTCAGAAAGTCCCAAGAGTGACAACACACTTTCCAATCCGTCTTTAAGAGCACACTGACGCAATGTGTTCTGCTGTCCTTTACTGGACCCTGTGCTTGTAGAACCAGCAGAGACCTTTAGTGAAGTTCCAGCCGAGCGAAATGGAGAAAACATACAGGAGTCCGAGCAAAGCGAAGGGATAGAGAAGCACCACAGTGTTCTTTAAGAACGGAAGTGCTAAAGAAACAAGGAGAGCATTAGTATTAGATAATGTTAGCGTGTGGATGGTAAAAATACACAGTCATAATCACTTACCGCTGTAGCCCAGGAATGTGATGTAAATATAGTAAGCGATGGCTATAAGCCACAAGGTGTTTCCCACAAAATAACCCAGGAACCAGTCTGAACTTATAACCACAACATCTGTCAAAAGAGTGGAAAAGATGTGTTTACAACATCTAAACAGTGTATTATTATACTCATGTATCCACCTGTTTACTTACGGTTGATGAAGAATAGCTGTAGAAAGTGCAGAATGACCAGGAGAGGGTAGAAAGCGTTTAGATGGACGTCAAACGCGTAGCCCCACTCCACATCGTAATCTCGGCTAGGGTGTTTCAGTAGATATTTGTTTGTGACAAACCTGGAGAAGAAAAACAGGGATTACTGTACAGTTTTACAGTCACAACTCTTCACGATATATTGCAGTAAAGTTAGGTCGATTTATTACGTCATTCTTTAAAGTACTTGATTCTGATTTGTCAGTCACAGCAGACAACATTGTATAATAACCACTAAACTGTACAATCTGGCAACCCCAGGCAACAGATTTCCTGAGCATAATAAAGTAAGTTAGACCAGTATTTCATGTCCATTTATTTATTTGGTAAGAAATTATGTATTATACAGGACAACGTACAGTCAAGCCAGTCAATTAGTTTTTTTTTTAGTATTTAGATTTTTAGCATTTATATATTACAGTATTTATTAAAACGTTTTTTTCTTTGGTTTTCATTTTAATTTGACAAATTTTGTCTTTTGCCATTATTATTAGTTTTTTTATTTTATTTTGTACTGGTATTTTTTGGTATATTTCTATTGACCTATTTATATATATATATATATATATTTATTTCTATTATAGTTTTTTTTTTAGTATTTAGATTTTTAGCATTTATATATTACAGTATTTATTAAAACGTTTTTTTCTTTGGTTTTCATTTTAATTTTACAAATTTTGTCTTTTGCCATTATTATTATTTTTTTTATTTTATTTTGTACTGGTATTTTTTGGTATATTTCTATTGACCTATTTATATATATATATATATATTTATTTCTATTTAATTTTTTATTTCAGTTTTAGTAATTTACGTACTTAAACTTCTTTCAGTTAGCTGCAGATTCTGAAGTTTACGTTTTTCATGTAATATTTAGATTAGATTTTATTTACCTTTATTTCAATTGCCGACAAAGTCTACTTATTTTTAGTTTAATTTTTATTTTTTTTAAATTAACTTAATTTTAATTTTAGTTTTAGTAATTTTAGCACTTATAAACTTATTTCAGCCAGTTTCCAAGGCAACATTTCATATTTTAAAACGTCTACTTATTTTTAGTTTAATTTTTAATTAATTTATTTTTTATTAACTTTTAATTTTAGTTTTAGTAATTTTAGCACTTATAAACTTATTTCAGACAGTTTCCAAGGCAACATTTCATATTTTAAAACGTCTACTTATTTTTAGTTTAATTTTTAATTAATTTATTTTTTATTAACTTTAAATTTTTATTTTAGTTTTAGTAATTTTAGCACTTATAAACTTATTTCAGTCAGTTTCCAAGGCAACATTTCTTATTTTAGCTTTAGCTTAAGTTTTTGAAGTTTAAGTTTTACATCCATTATTTATATTTTACTTTATTTAAGCCTTATTTCAATTACCAACAACAATTGATAATAATTTTAGTTAATGATAACAACATTGCTTCATGCTGGGGTCATAACCACCCTCCCCAGGGTTATTTTCTAATAATGTAAATTTAAAAAATGTAAAATATAGGTCTAAATTTCTTCGCAAATATGACCTCATTCTGAAATTAACAACAATAATAAAGAAAAAGCAAAAATCCATAACCCAGAAAAAGAAACTGGATCAATACCACATCAGCAAGCTCAACATTAAAGTCATGCACACATTTTTGGCAGCCTTTGTGAGTGTGTGTGTGACTCCTTACCACATGAGTGTAGATATGAGCAACCCGACTCCGACACAATCGATGAAAACCACCCACAGCAACAGCTTCAACGTCTCCACAAAACCCATTTCTAGAACCAGACCAAAGCCCACCGTCGACACTGCAGAGAAAACATGATTAGTGAGCCAATGCACGTTTCATTCCCAAATCCTTCCCCTGTTTTCATCAAAAGTGCTCACCACACAGCCAGACGCTGAGCAGCACCAGGAATGCAGGGTCGTCCCGGGCCCACTGGTCTTTAGTCTGTTTGCGGTACTGGAAGTTGCGGAACACTTTCTGCGGCGA